TCATTTGAATTATCACTCCAAGCTTTCTGGTGTGTGTGGGAGGCATGAATGTATGTTTCATCTAAGTAGACAATTGGACGGCCCTCTGCTCGATAACTTTTTAAACGAATCAGATAGTCTAAACGTAGCTTTTGAATATCAAACCTTTCCATTAATATTTTTCTGTTTGTTTTTGTTTTCCGCCAACGAAATCCTAGCGACGTTATTATTTTTCTTAAACTTTCATAGCTTCCTTTGTACCCTGTAGCTTCTCTAAATTTAGTCAGAATTGTTTTTAATGTTGGAACAATATTTTCCGAGATTAACATGAACAGAATAATTCTTTTTAAAATACCTTTGTCAGCTTCATCTATATCATTAACTGTTTTTGGTTTTTTAATGGTTTTTCTTGGTGATGAAAATTCCGATATCTCACGGTTATCGATTCTTTTTTTCTCTCCAGAAATGCGGACGACAGTGTTTTTAGATACTCCTGTGGCTGCAGCAACACGATCATTTACATTTTTAAATGGTATTGAAGGTGAATTAAAGTTTCCTTCTCTTCTCATAAACTCTACAACATTGGCTATTATTTCGCGAGATTGACTGTTAATCACGCGGCCTCTTAATTTGCTATTAAACTCCATACTTAGGTTCTATTAAACTGTAATGAGCAAAAAACACAAACGAAAATAAAAGAAATGTTTTAGCGAAATTTACATCTGACATTTACGTCTGAATAAAATAGTGAAATACTTGATGCGCAGAGTGTACTTTCATTGCGTAAATCCGTCGGCCCCGCCAACCGATGTCTCTCAGTAGTGCTTTCTCTGGCTAGCCGTTGAAAGCCTCTAGAAATTTGATGAACTGTATGCGAATGAACCACATCATTTGATTTTCTTTTACTATACGGAGAATGGTCGCACTGCGCAGCTTTCTGAGTGCCTTTTAAAAGGAGATAGAGAACTCCGCCATTTTTAACCCTTATTACGTGTTGCCTACATCTTGGCGCAATATTTTTAATAGGTGCGTTTTAATCATCCGCTTCTGCTTCGGAATTGTCTGTTTTCTTATTTTAATCTGACAAGTTAAAACGACTAAACCGACAATTCCGGAAGCAGCAGCGGATGATTAAAACGCACCTGGGGTGGGATTCCGTTTCACGATTCGACTCGAATTTGATATCAAACTCCATAAAAGCAATTCCGTTTAACGAGTAGTCGATTCGATACCAAATCGTTAAAGTTGGATTATTCTGACATTAGGTATGTCCTGTCAATGAGGTTAAATAATAAGCCTGTGGCTTAAAATTTTAGGGAAGAAAGGTATTTAGTTTTCAGGGCATACCTATGTCTCTGGCAATGCCTTTTCTGGATAACCTATCGTGCAACAGAGGTCTTTTATATCCTTGGAATATCAATAAAAGGATTAGTTATTATACAAAACGATACAAAACATAAACATTTATAGGTTCTCTTTATTCAGCTGAAAAAGTTCTCCACGACGATTTTCTGGAAGTTTCTTTAGTCTAATAATAATAAATAATAATATTTTTATAATTTAACCCATTATGAGTGATCCTTGCAACTCTGAATGCAGAGTTGTTTGTACCCGGTCAGGGATGACTATTATTATTTTCCATGGCTCTCCGAGGCAACTTACAGAAGTCATTTGAATTATAGATGAGGATGCCCCGGAAAAACCCCACACATAAGCATAAAAACTAATAAATAATTACAATTTAGTTTTTGTTATTTGACGTTAAAAGTCGTGACATTCTGTTCTGTGTCGAGTAACTCGACACATAATTCGATCGAATTAAAAACAGCGATTCTATAACTCGATCTGTTTTGACTTCGGAAATCTTCGGAAAATCGACAAAATAATGAAGCTTTCAAACTATTCTAACTTTTAAACGACAAACAACAAAACTTGAATTGTATTTCTTTAGTCTTGACGTGAATTATTTATTAGATTTTATTCTTATAGGTGGGGTTCTTCCGTAGTGTTCTCATTTATAATTTGAATGACATCTGTCCCTCCCCGACAACAATTAAATTGTATTGTATTTGGTTTAGCCTGTTTAGCCATAAGATTAATAATTTATTTATGATGATGCTTGGGGTTTTTTCTGGGTATCCTCATCTATAAATTAGATGACACCATCTGTAAGATCCATTGGAGCGCCATGGCAAATAATAATAATAATACGGTTGTCCCTCCCCGATACCAGCTACCTATATGCTTTCAGAGTTGCAGGGATCACTCGTAATGGGGTAAATTGTAAAAATATTATTATTTAATATTATTGTGCTTTGTGCTAAAGAAAGAATAACCTAAAGCCTTGGTTTCTTTGAACACTTCGTCGCGGTGAGCGGACAGTCCGTCAACCGTCGCGTTTTGACGATTTTATCCAACCAGAGTATTTAAATGGGAATGGTTTTCTTGAATCCGCTTAGCTGAACAGGACGGCGTCATGCCGCTGATTTGTCGCGAAGAGTCGGTTGATATCTGTTGAGTTTGATATCAGCGGAATCGTCGGCGTGTGCGGAGACTATATTGTTATTAATTTTAAAACAATGAGTGACAAATTCACACATATGACATCATGACTTTATTTTTAGATTTCTTGGAAATTATGTCCTTTATAAAACTCAACACGAATTCAAGAAGATCTGTAGAAAGTCTAAAATACTCCCTAAATTTGGTTTCATTTCCAAAAAGCCTCCACTGCACAGTGATATTAAAGGCACCTTCTGTATCGCGACACAAAAACAACTCATTCACTGGCTTATTGGAAACTTTGACGGCTGCAATTGCCAGTTCCTCTTGTTCTTCCTCTTCCAACAATAATAACAATGCAAACAATTTATTTGCAACCATTTTAGTACCTTTCGTTAATACATAAACAGCACGTACAGACATAGAGAAAGTATCATTTTCTATATTTTTTAACAAACCACCTCGGGCGAAAATTGCTGTCCTCAGCGGTCGACGGACTGTCCGCTCACCGCGACGGAGTGTTCAAAGAAACCAAGGCTTTAGGGAAAGAAGCGATCCTTTCGAACTCTCTGAAAATCGCTGTGGATAGCTTTTTTGGTTGAATAAAGATTACCTTCCTTTATTAGTTTATATTTTATAGCGTTTTATGTAATTAATAAATCCTCTTTTTGATGTTTCAAGTAGTATACAGAGTCCCTACTATTTCATAGGGACAGTGTTAATATTTCTTAAACGCTAACAGACAGAAGGTTGGTTAAATTAGAGAAAAATTACGCAGTTTGTGCTTATTAAAATGGTGCCAAGAAACCTTTGATATCTAGAGGGAGATTTAAAATATCGGACAAAAAATGAAAATTGTAATTTCTTTAAATTCATTCATTCGTTTTTTGTCAGATATTTTGAATTTCTTTGTTGATATCAAATGTTTTCTGGCACCGTTTTAATAAGCACAAAACTGCGCAACTTTTGTCAAATTCAACCATTTTTCTATTTGTTACCGTTTAAGAAATAGCAATACTGTCCTTGGCTCACGAGCTACTAGGTACCTATCTAATTGGGAGGTTGCACAATGGGCCTAGTGAGGCCTAAGTGCCATGAGTTAACCCACTCTTCACACGTTACAGATACAGATACTGTCCTTATGAAATAGTATCCCAGACAACACACCAAATCCCAGAGATATCCACAGAATATCTTTTGTGGTTATCCAATATATCCACAGGATATCAGAAATATTCCGTAGATCTAATATGGATATCCAAATGTCCGTCTATATCCAGAATATAGAAGATATCATATGGATATCCAGCAAAATATCTAATGAGTATCTTCCAGACAATACAAGAAATCCCAGAGATATCCACAGAATATATTCTGTGGATATCCAATATGGATATCCAACCAAATGTCCGTCTATATCCCAGGATATAGAAGAATTCGGATATTCAGCAAAATATTTTATAGGTATATTTAGTAGAGGTTCATAAGTAACCAATGATTATTGAATAAAGTCGAAACAAAATAGCAGAGATAAAAAATATTTTCATCACTCAAAATATTTTCAACACTCTGCCTTTGATTTTGCCCACTAAGGAGAAAGTTATCCTTATTAGGACTCTTCAGCAATAAATAGAAATTCTCGACTCCAGTCTCTAATGGAGTCTGTTTGTGAAACAAATTTCGATCGAACTCAATTACGGCGGGTTGAGCATGAGTAGATGCGAAAGTAGTATCGCCATCTATACTTGGTAAGCAAAATCAAAAATTACATCTAGTGGATATCCACGATGGTTTGCGTTCGCGCCTAGACTTTGATATATTTAGTGGATGTCCATGGGATATTGAATACACCTTAAAAAAAAAATATTTTAAATATCTGAACGGTACTATTAGCCACAATGGCGAGCACAATGGCGTAATTTTTTAATAATTTGCTATATAATTACTATTATTTATGGACATTTGCATGTCTATAAATTACAGTTCATGGATATAAAATAAATATCCACCATGGACTGGACATTCAGTAGATATTGGGGTGTTCAGTAGATATCCAAAGGATTTGGTGTGCTGTCTGGGATAATGACCCCGTATATACCTAATAGAGAAAATAAGGCCCTTAATGCAGGAGAGGTTATTTAGAAAAGGCACATTGCTGCAAGAAAGGTTCATACCTAATGTCAAAAAAATTCAACTTTAATGATTTGATATCGAATCGACTACTCTAGAGCTATCGAGTTATTTTATCGAGTTTATTGTCGAATTTCGTTGAACGGATATCAAATCCGAGTCGAAGATTTCCGAAGTCAAAACAGATAGAATTGCTTTTCATAATTCGATCGAATTATGAATCGTATCGAGATCGAGTTACTCGACACAAAACGGAATCCCACCCACTTAAACATAAATAGTAGAAGTTAAAACATGTAAATCCGGACCTGCTTTTCCGTCATTTCAGTTAGTGCAAAAGACCGGTTCCATTTTTGTATATCAAAAACGTATATTTATAATGACTTATCCTCTGGTTGCTATATCAATGAAACTCACCTTTACAAATGGCGTTCCTTCAACTTGAATGTAATGACATCCCTTGTCAAAAACTCCAAAATTACGAGTCGCTGACTTTCATATCGATCTCCAAATGTGCCATGTTGTAGCACAAAATTTATGTGCTTCCATTGTTCATGTTTTCGCTGATCAACCGCATCAGAAGAATACTACCCTCATCGATAAAGCTCTATAGAAGAAATTTCCGAGTAAACCATTTAAATTTTTACAGAAGAACGAGGATATGTCTGCCCGTGGTCATGTTGTTGCCTTCCCCCACCATCAAACCCCAAACTAGTATAATAAACACCGAGATTACCAAAGTAGACGTCGAGGAGAATATCGGGGAACTATTGAATTTGGTCAAGCACGCGATAGACAGAGGGGAGTTAGAGAAGGCGGAAGCCATCTTGGAAATGGGAATAAAAATATGCGAGGAGTACCAGTCTTACTATGCATTGCCTTACATGTACGATATTTTAGCTTCTATCGCTTTGGCCACTGGTAAAATTGGAAAAGCTGAGAATATATTAGTAAGGGTAAATAAATTGTTTGATTTTACATTTCTCAGGTTGGCGATTAAAGGGTATAAATCAATTTTTTTAAGAAAATGGAGCTTTGATCTGATATTTTAACAAAATAACTTCTTTTGATCTGTTAAAACGAGTCTATTTATGCTAAAAATGTTTAAAATTATTCATGTATTTGGGTCCTCTGTACAGACATAATGGGTGACTGTAAACAATACGGACACAACAATTTTCACTATTTTTGCTATATTCTTAATTAAAATGATACTACTTACTATTTTTGATCAATTTAACTACGGAAAAACCAAAATAACCAGAGTTAATATAAAAATATTGTGTATTAATCAGAAAATAAACCATTTTTATTGATATAACCTCAATTTTCTTAAAAAAACCTCTATTATTATCTATAGCCACGTTGCCAATTTTTTAATTGCCTGTATTTGATAAAATATTGGACAATCGATAACACTATCGATGGTAACGTACGGCAATCGAGTGTCAATTCCATAAAAATTATTAATTTATTTGGTTTCGTTTCCTAAAAAACTCTTTTACTTTTAATTTCCACCCATGTCCGGCGATTTATACATTTATTTTGATTGAATTGTAGTATTGACTAAAAATTAATATTACATCATCTCTAAAATACTTTTAGAAAACTTTTAAACTTAATTACTTTGTGTAATCCAAAAACTTTTTTTGAAATATGAAATTTATTACCTTTTTATGCATTGTCAACCAATGCCTTTAACAATTAAAGAGGATAGCTGAATTTGTTTAATTTCTGTTGAGTCAGCCGTGACGTGACGTCACCCCTGGATGCTTTCAACGGTTCAGCCCGAACTCATTTAAAATATACAACGATAGAATACACCTTTTTTATTCTATTTATTTTTAATTTAAAAGGTATTTAAGATATTCAAAACGTGATTTTAACCAGAGAAAAAATTACAAACCTCTCAAGATTACAGGAGTAAGTAAAATAGGTAATAAATTTGAATATGGCCGTCATGTTATTCAAAAATATTTTCCAAATAACACATATTTGAGAAATTTGACATACTAATTATAATATAGTTAGAAGTCGAAATTTATATATAAAGTGTACAAAAGTTAATGGAACTTACTAAAATTAAATTTCTGATAAAAGTTTTATGAAATTATTTAAGTTATCAGTATAAGTTAATAGGAGATATACTGAATTGGCCTTTATTCCAAAATTAAGCAAGAATATATTTTTCCGTAATGTAGTAAATTTAAAATAAAACCATTAAAACTGCATTGTGCTAACTGAATTATCTCGAATACTATTACTATTAAAAAAATATCCTTGCGGTATTTTGGAGTAATAGTACGCCTAGTACATTTCTAAACTGACTTATACCGATATAACTTGATTTGTTTCATAAAATTTTTATCCAAAACGCTTTTTTTAAATCTATTAGAATTCAAAAAATAAAAAAGTTATTTGACACAGAAAACGCGCTTGCCTTTCTACATCTCAACTACCTTGGAAGAGAACGGCCTTGGCCGACGTTTTGAAATTCACGCTTGTCCTTTTTATATTTACACCATAAGAGCACGCTACGCTCCTCCCGCCCACGTCCTAACCGCTACAGAATAGCTAGGGCGTTTTATTTTGTTTATGAAATAAATCAAGCCATCAATGTAAGTCAGTTAGAAATATATGGACTGCACCATTACTCCAAAATAACGAATGTATGGCTAATGGCTAATAAAGTTAGCACTATGTTGTTTTAACGGTTTTATTTTAAATTTAATTTAGTAAGAAAACTATTTAAAAAATATATTATTTTGTAATTTATGAATATTGGTCAACCCAGTATATTTCTTATTAAGAACGAAGGCGTAATTCCTATTAACTTATACTGATAACTTTTTTATTTCATGAAACTTTCATCAAAACTTTTTTTGTAAACTTATCAACATATTAATAAGTTACTTTTTGTTTACTTTGTATATAAATTTCGACATATCAAATTTCTTAAATATGAGTTCATTAAAAAGAGGTTTAGAAAAAATGGCCATAGTATTTAAATTTATTACCTTCTATTTACCTATTCATTTAATTCAATAATTTTCAGATGAGTTAAATTTCTCTCTGGTAAAATGATCTTTTGAATATCTAAAATATCTTTTATTTTGAAAATAAATTAAAACGAAATTTAAAAATAAGATGTATTGATGTACGTTTTAAATGGGACGGATGAAAGTATTCATGGGTGACGTCACGCCGCACTCACTAGAAATTAAATGAATTCAGCTATCCTCTTTAGTTGATATAATCATTGGCTTTGGTTGACAAGTCATTTGTCAGACTAATTAATTCTCTTGTTTGAACGTTTAAAAACTTTTGAATAACCCAAAATAGTTGTTTATTACATTATAGATAAAGTAATATTAATATTTAGTTAATATGTACCATTAAATCAAAATGAATAAAAAAATCGCTGGATGAGACCGGAAATTGAAAGTTGTTTTTTAGGAAAAGCAACGAAATAAATTAATAAAAGTAGTGTATTTTAAAGTGTTTGAAAATGTTACGCCAAAAATAAGGTACTTTGTGGGGTTTCCGGTGGTATATTTGAAAAGTACTATTTTTCCTAATGCCTAAAATGTAAGTATAAAAAAATTGGATTATTAATCAAAATACATTCCCAATAATTACCTTTTTATGCGTGATATGAGCATTGTTTCAATATGTATTCGATTCATAAAAGTACCTTATCGATTCTGTCAATTATTAATCTAGATTTTGTTATAAATTAAAACGTTTAGCAACCATGCATATACCTTACACAAAAATCGAAAAATCTTAGATTAGAATTACCAAAATTCGCAAGTTTGAACTCAAATTTCTCTGTTATTTATGCGTAATCTGCAATTTTTTTTGTTTGTTAATTCATATACAGGGTGTACCAATAAAAACTCCCAGGCCAGATATTTTGGTAAATAATAGAGATACTTTATTTCTGTAAAAGCCAGTTTATAGACCGCTAAGAAAGCTTCAGTTTTAGATATAAATTAATTTTAAATAGGTCAATATGTAGATGGCGCTGCGCTCAATATATTTTTTTCGATGGGAGGATCTTTCTTATATAGCGCATCTTGTAAAAAATGCATTTTTAAGCAGATCTTGTTTCATAAACTAATTCAATAAATCTAGCCATTTTTGATATATAGAGTGGATCACTCAAAACAGTTTCATCCTGTTTTTCGGCATTAATCATTGGATTTTAAGAAAATACTAAAACAGGTCTATTTTTATTTCAAATTGAACACATTTTTACAACACAGACATCTGTCATGTGTCAACCCCCTCCCTTCCACTTCTCCAACCCCTTAATTTTAAATAAGGAATGTGCCATGTACGGCACATCATTAGAAAGGTAATTTTATGGGGAAGTCAGAAATATGACTGTTTATTGTGATACTTTTAATTTTAGTGCCCTCTGTCATGATAAAAAAACCTTTAACGAATTATAAAGTGTGACACTTTATTTGAAAGCTTATTTAATTACTAATTTAATGCACCACATAACATTCATATGTTTCCATATTTCACTTGCAATAAAATAAAGTTAGCAATAATGTTTAAAATAATACATGACTAATTTTCAAACTATTGCAAGTGCAATATGTAGGATATTTATATTATTGTTTGTGGTGCATTGAATTAGTAATTAAATTTTCTTTCAAATAAGGTGTCACACTCTATAATACGTAATAGTTTTTTATCCCGCTAGAGGGCGATAAAATTTAAGTAACGCAATGTACAAGAATATTTCTGAATCCCCCATTAAATTACCTTTTCAATGATGTGCCAGACATGGTACATTACCTATTTAAAGTTAAGGTGTGCAAGTTAAGAAGTGCAAGAGAGGGGGTTGACACATGACAGATGTCTTTATTGTAAAAATGTTTTTAATTTGGAATAAAAATCGACCTGTTTAAGCATTTTCTTAAAGTCCAATGAATAATGCTGAAAAACAGGATGAAACTGTTTTGAGTGACCCACTCTGTATATCAAAAATGGCTAGATTTATCGAATTTGTTTATAGAACAAAATCTGCTTAAAAATGCATTTTTTACAAGATTCGCTACACAAGAAAGATCCTCCCATTGAAAAAAAATTATTGAGCGCAGCGCCATCTACATATTGACCCATTTAAAATTAATTTATATCTAAAACTAAAGCTCTCTTAGTGCTCTGTGAACTGGCTTTTACAGAATTAAAATATCTCTATTACTTACCAAAATATCCGGCCTGGGAGTTTTTATTGGTACACCCTGTATACACTTAATACCATTTTCTAGTTCAAATTCGTGTGTCCATTACGTTTACAGGCACCGATACAATGATATTTCTAAACTTTAATGCGCCTTTTTCTGTGAATTCAAAATTTGTAATCAATCTCTTTTAAGCGCTGACCACAGATTTATTCTCTCTGGCTTACTGCTAATTTAAAAACTAATAATCAATACATAGACAAACTAAAACCTAGGAAAACATATGAATACAAAAAGCTTCGAATTTTCTCTTCGGTCAGAAACGAATAACTGACTTATCTGAATAATTTGGAAAAACAAAAAATTCTACAAACTTCTACAAAGTCTTAAAAGGTATGCATGTCCAAAGTTTTGACCGTACATATATCGAAGCCAAATCTACATCTACATTTAAAAAAAATGGAAAAAAGGCAAAAATGGCAGGAAGAATATCCATTTGGCTTGGGCTGTTAGAATAAGGGGGGTGGACGAAGAAGATGAGACTATCGAGCATATATCCCCTACATTGTTAAAGCCTTAAAAAAGAAATTGGTGTTATAGATACGACTTATAGCTGTTCTGAAGAAATACTAAGTATCTCTTATAAGAAAAATTTATAACATATAATAAATATGCTGTAAGAATATTTATATAATAATATTATAGTGCTATTTTATTTTCAACAGCTAAATTGTATCATTTACTATATTTATGAGTCAATATTAAATTTCTGAAACAACTATAAAACCTTTATAAGAATTAAATGTTGTATAATTCAAAGGTTATAAGAGAAGTGTGCTGGTTGGGAGAGCTCATGCCAAATCTCACTATGTAACATGTTATTTTGTTTATTAGAATAAAGACGTTCTATTTTTATTATTATTCTTGTTGCCTCTTCTGCTTCCTTCTTGCTTTAGCTAATAATCATCATTTCACAAAATGCCATGATTTCAGGTGATCGAAAAGATGATCCAATTGGAAATCCCCGAAGACAACGACCAAATGGTAGATTTCAAACTGCGCCTCTCTAGAATCTATAGTTTGTATCAAGAAGTAGTCCTGGCCGAAATCGGCTTCAGCACATGCCTCAGAGAGCAAGAAAACAAGATCAACAAGGGCGATATGTCAACCAAAACCGGCTTGCTCTACATCAACTGTTTGTTCTTTTACGGCTTACACAAAATCAGCGTATCCGATTATCTAAAAGCGAAAAGTCTGATCGATTCCGCTTATAGTTACGCGATGAAAATGAAAGGTCTGAGTCCCTATCAGGAAATGATGATCCTTGGTACGCTAGCCGACCTCAATACGGAACTGAAAGACTTCGATATCGCTCTACAGAACATCAACAGCGCAATCATCTTGGGCAAGGGCATCGGTAGCATCGATCTGCCCAAGATGTACCTGAAGCTGGCGAAGATCTACGTCCATATGAATTCGTTGGGAATGGCTCAGCAATGGCTGCACGAAGCTATCAATCTGGCCCATTTGTTTAACGACAAAAAAGTCTACGAAGAAGCCGAAACTCTTCTGCAGAGCATTTCGCCTTGATACTTTACATACACATAGTACAAAATGATGTGGAATAAAACGCTTGTGTCGCTATTTGGCTGTTTATTTTAATATTTTATATTTTTGGGATTTATTACCGATTTCTTGATTTATGCGCCATCTAGTAACTAATAGAAAAGTTAACTGAATTCTGCACTAGAAAACCTAACAACTATCTTACAGATTACTGTTACAAAGTGGTGTTATCAAAATTCCAGTTTCCTGATTATCTGAACAAATTTGCATCGAGCATTTTCCGAGAAGGCGCTATTTCATATATATTTCATAAAAATGTACGTCGACGATAAATTTGGTGATGCAGAAAGGGGTTCTTATTCGCCAAGTTAAACGATATGAAAATTCCATATTTCTATAATAAATATATCTAAATATAAGTTATGAAAACACATTCGGAATTAAAAAGTAAATTAACGCTTTACGTCAACTTTTATATTTTTAAAATAGCAAAAAAACTTAGGGACGAATTCAGAGTATGACAGCTTCTTCCAAATCCACATTTTAAAAATGTGTTAATTCAAAATCGACCATTTGATTTGACAACGGCCCTATGTTTTTCTGCTACGGTTATTAACCTCGTGTTCTGTGTAGGCTTTGTTACTGTTTCCCAGCGCCACTTTAGGATCAGCACTGTTAATGAATACCCAACAGTGAATGGTCGAGTGGAGAATCCTACCAAGGCATCAAAATTAATTTTAAATAATTAAATTAAATGAAAAAATCCCGGCCAACGGTGGGATTTGAACGGCCCTATGTTTTCCCAATATTATGCTCTTTTATTAATTTTGATCAAGAGAAGTACGATCTCTCCATTTTCATGCAAAGCGAATCATAAAAGTTTATTACATTTTATAAATAAGAATCACTTAGAATTTAGAATATTAGAGACCACATCAATAACAATAAACTCAATTTGTTCACCATTCCATTTTTTATCTTATAATAAATTAGTATTGTTATTGAAAATTAAGACTCATCGGTTTGTATTTTTCACTTGATTTAAATAAATTGATTTGTATTTTTGACTTGAACCGCCATTTTTTGGCGTAGAGTGTTCCGATGACAATTTCCATTCAAAAATTAGAAAATACCAAATTTTACCCAAAGTCACCAATAAAATGCAATAGTGAATAATGATGATGTGGTGAATATATTTTAAAACATGACTTTTAAAAGAAAAGTAAATTCTAATAAATTGAAAACGCTATATTATTTCAGGAATAAACTATAATTTATAACAAAAATCGAGAAAAATATTCGCGCGTAGGCAACACTTGTTGCCGTAAATACACTAGCGAACCTAGCGCAATTTACTTGTAGTCATGATAAAATTTGGCCACGCTTTTTTGAGAGCTACTTGCATTCTTTCGCAGAGTATGTTCTCAAAATTCTCTGTTTGCAGAATGAACAGGTCATCTGCATACGCTATTGTATATTGGCTGTCATTATTGAGGCGGCTGATGCGGGTGTCGAGTACCATTTTCCACAGTAGAGGTGATAGGACCCCTCCCTGTAGACATCCCCTCGCAATCAAGCCTCTTATATTTACATATTCTACACTTATGTTTACTGTTCGCGTTGAGAGCATGTTGTGTATCCATCCACTAACCATCTGTGGAACATTCCTGTTATTTAGTGAGTGTATTATCTTGGGAAATGTCACCTTATCAGAAGCACCTTCTATGTCGATGAAAACACCCACGGCGTGATCTCTCTATCCGACTAGCAACTATGTGAAGGGTTTAATCAGTAGATCTCCTTGGGGTTATAATCACTACATCCCTTATGTACCTTTCGCATAGCCTTTCCAATGTCTTCATGAAAAACGATGTCAGGCTAATGGGCCGGTATGTTTTTGGGACAGTGTAATCCATCCTTCCAGGTTTGGGTATAAAGATTACCTTTAACTCTATCCGTTTTTGGGGGATATGTCTCAGAACCAACGAGGATCTGAATATACCTACCAGGGCCTCAATTCTCGACTTCACCGGAAAATTTTCCCATGGATAAATATTCCCATGCTTATATTCCAGTGGTATTATAAAATGGTATTCTCGACTAGGTTAGGAACCTTTTTCCTATGGGAATTTCGATTATTCGTATGTCTAACGTATGTCGGGTATTAAGTATGTAAATATTGGAAACTGACCAATCATAATCAATATTATATTTCAATACTTTCAAGTAGTAATGTTGGGATCATTGATTATATCGTCAACTTTTGACTCTTGTTTTGCCACTTGCGATCTTGTCAGAGAAAACAATCAACCCTTCTTATTTAGAAAATAATGTGAAAATATATAATGTGCTAAACCTAGTACAAGGGGCACAATAAAGCCCAAACGAAGAGTAGCTGTTACAAGGTTAACTAAAACCTTGAATACTAGCCGAAATATTGAACGCATGTTACAAAATAAAAACTTTAATAAAGAAAATTATTATGACAAAAAATTCAAGTTATTAGAGAGAAATGTTTTGGCAAAAGAACGAATAACTTGTGCCTTGGAAAAAATAGCAGAAACAGAGGAATTTTAAGGATATTTAAGAGTGTTCAATATTTTAGCTTCAAGTTTTTTACCATCTCATTATGTTATTAACAGTTGCCATTTATTTTGCGTAATAAAACAAAATTTATTCTAAAATAGCCTATTCCTATTAATGAAACAAAATTTATTCTGGGATTGCTTATTCTAGAAAACTTGCGTTGATCATATTTGAGAAATTTATCATTTAAGGATTCAAAGGGATCCCCTGCCTCATTTTTCCACTTAGACCAAAAATCTCTTGGGACATTAATTGCTCTTCTTCTGCCTCTTCTATATTGTTTAATTGAGCAAGTAAAATAGCTTCATCCACTTTAGGAAAGTTATATTAGTAATAATAATATATAAATATTATTATTTGAAGTAACTAGCAAATGTCACCGGTGACAGATTCCCATTGGAAATTTGATTTCCCATGCCAAATACCAGGTGTATTTGCTCCCATACTTTTCGTGAGAAAATATTCCTAGTGGATGTGTCGAGAATACAAAATATAAATTCCCATAGGAAAATTATTTTTTTCCCATGGGAAAAAAGTCGAGAATTGAGGCCCTGGTGCGGTGTGAGTTCTTCCATACCACACTGAAGTAGAGCTGGAAAGATACCGTCAGGTCCTGGCGATTTAAATGGAGAGAAGTTAGATGATGTTGCCCATCTAATTTTGTCATCGTCTACAGTGTGTGACAGTTTGCTAATCGTAGACAGATGGGTTGTATTCTTCCTCTGCCCAGTCAGCCACATCTGTGATCACTAAGTCAGGAAAGTTTGATAGTATCTTCGTGATTTGCAGTTTTCATGCCATCCTCTTTGATTAGCGCACCATTACTGCGGTGTGGATCACTGCCTGCGAGAAATCTTCGATTTCTTCGCTGTAGGATCTCCATGCACCTCTCTGTTTTTGTCTAACGATTCTTTTGTATTCTCTAAGGTGAAATTTGCAAGTATCCTACTCCTCTTTGAGTTTTGTGGTTCTTGCTTTATTAAAAGATTTCCTAGCCATGTTTCTGAGGTGATCCAACTCGTGACACTACCATGGGGTAGTCGTCTGATTGTGTTGGATCAGCCTCAGGAAGCAGGATTTCTTATAGTCATTGTTTATTGTCATTTGGATAGTGTTCAAGTACTTTTCCAAAGCATTGTTATTGTTTGGTGTTTCAGTCTCCACCTCTCTTAAAGCCTCGGTGGTCTGATATCGAAATGTCATCAGACAGGTGCTAGTTTAGAATTGATTTATAGATACTAGTTGTGGATAAAGTGATATCTATTAGTGTTTGACCGCAAGAGTTTAAAAATGTTGGTATAGTGCCTTTATTTAAAATACAAAGATTGTTGGTAATTAAATAATCATAAAGTAAATTGCCTCTAGCGTTGTTATTCTTACTGCCCCAACTGAAATGATGAGCATTCGAGTCGCAACCTATTACCAACTTAAACTTCTGGTTGTCTTTGCTGGGTGGTGGCATAGTTGCATCGTAGGGGAGGTATGCAGATGCCAGGATCAACGTATTCTTTTCCCTCTTGATGACACATTCCATCCAAATCGTAGTTAAATCATATTTAGACACGTTTTCATTTGTTTTTAAACGGATACTACCAAGTCTTTAGTGTACACTGACTCTAGCCATTTTATAAATCCTAAATAGCATAATTTTAAAACGCCAGAGCCAGGAACGTAGCGAGTTACAGAGGAAACAAAATAGTTTAATTGAAATTTTAATTTTAAAAACTTTACAACGAATAAAATACATTAGGGGAAAGTCGGATAAAATGGTCCCCTCGGGTAAAATCGTCCCCTAATATAGTTCTCATAACCTAAAGAAAACTGCTGTTTATCTTTATTTACTACATTTAATACTACTATCGCCACCTATGTACGAAGTTGTGAAGATGTGCGAATCGTAAAGGACTAGTTTTATCATAACCTATAAAAACGCATGTGATTTTGTGAATTTCGTACACACTGAAGTTGTGTTTATAGGTGTTTCAATTCAGGTAAGTAAAAAACCATTACATGAAGTTTAAATCGGTATTTTTCTGTACATTATCAGTCTGTTACCATTGCTTTAATGATAAGGAGTAACTAATATAAATTCATTTGTATGGTTGTTATGCTTTGAGGTAAAATGGTTCCTTCATGTTGAGGCAAAATGGCCCCAGGGACCATTTTACTCTCGCTTAGCCATCCAAATAAAGTTTTTAGTTAAATAGAAAAAAATTTCATAATAGTCTAATGTATATCATCTTTTCAGAAATATTGGTGAAACGTTCTTTCGGAAAATGACAAGGATGGGATCCGAATTCAATATGGCTTGCCTTAGAGGACATTTCTAATGACATGCCTTTTAAAAAAACTGCTAGGCTTTATAATCTGCCCTTGAGTACTTTAAAAAGACGGGCCAAAATCAAAATAAATTGGTAAATGTAACAAAATTAGACTGCTTTATTCCTAATCTTTCGCTATGTAGTTTTAAAATGTACCTAAGAAGGGAAAAG